TGTACCTGATACAAGTTTTCGCAAAGGATTTAGTCCGTGCACCCGGCGACGCATTAAATATTTCCACCAGTGGGCGCATCCAGAACCCCAGTATCGGCAACAATGGATTTTAGCACTTTCTCGACTAGCTGTGAAATCCTTACGGCTATATAGGTATTCTTCCTGTTTTGGCCCTCATAAGCTGGCCTGCACTAGATGTGTTCTCAAACACTGTGCTATAAGCTGTTGACTTCAGGTAACAAAGCAAAGTTTCTTAGCTCTTAGATCTTAGCTTAGAGGTTCTTTCTTGCATTTGACCTTTCGGAAGGATTCGAACATATCTACTTCAATTTATTTACGTCTATAGTTCAATGTAAAAAAAAAATGTCGGTTTCACGCTGTGCTGCAAATCTGTACATTTATGTAAGGAATAATTAAGGAGCAAACTAATATTACCATAACAAGTTTATTCCCAGATGTGACTTAAACCTATTTTGTAGCGACTGAGAGATCTTGACCACTTGATTGCACATTTTATTAGTTCAAAAGTGGCAATGTGTAGAAACGTGTGTAGATGCTTTCCTGTTGCATTGGTGTCAATGATGTATCATTTTGCCTATGTCTAGTACCAAGAAGGTAAAAACAGGAACCATTTTTATCAACTGCACCGTTAGAAAATATAGCTTAAGGGTAGAAACTTTGTGTTTTTATTTAGACCGTCAACTAAGGGAGGATCCAAAATATGCATAGGTATATCTGCTTTTCTGTTCAATTCTCAGTGTCTCAGTCACTAATGTCTGATGACATAGTTGCAATGTTTTTCAATTTTGCCTCCAGAATCAATCCGAGCCAATATTAATATTGAACTGAATGCGAGATTCATTACACAAAACGTTTAGAAATCGAGAGCCTTAACGCACCACGCATACGATGCTACTGCCTCTTATCTATTACTTCTCCAGTATCAGTCACGCACACGAGATCCTTCTGTTCCCCGCTGCTATAGTACCATGTAGTTCCGCGAAGTGTCGCTTTCCCCAACCTCTCAAGCTTCATTCAGTGACAGAGAGGATGCCTCCCTTACAGCTTGGCTAACGAGCAGACTTATCAGACGTGTTAGTATGCTAAATTGATGGCGAGCTTACCCTATTTTTCGAAATGTCAGGGCGATTTCTCATTTTAGATTCCGGCAGGTCCGGTAATCTGTTCCCTTGCCCGCAAACCACTGGTTAAAAGGAGTCAGCAGTCGAACCTACCAGAACTTCAGCTTCGCAAATCATAATAACTTTATCCATATCTGCTATGTTTCCGCCGCTATTCACCCAGGGACTTCGCCAACCCGAATGCGATCACCGCCACCCGAGGCACCATCGTACTCTGAGTATTATCTGTTGATATCACAGCTTTGCTCTGGCCCGTCACGAAGTAACGGAATTACGCTGATCCTCGCTGCTGGTCTTGCGTGAAAAGTACTTCCCGAACGTTTTCCATCAAACGATATCTAACAATTCATCACGGTCTATATCGAGTGCAATAATAAATGAGATGATTGACGACTGGTACATAAAAACTAACCGCTTGCGATTAATATGGCAGCCTACCTGCTACGCACTACCTGGCCACCGAAATAGACGAAAGTTCATATGGCTTGCGTGTACTACTGGACGTGTAGCCGAACTCGTGGTCGCGTTAAGAGAGCAGCAGGGCAAAAGAGGACCATTTCTGAAGTTGCTTATTTTGACGACCGGCGTCTCTCTGTAACTCGTACAAGTTTTTTCGTCCCAACTCGCCTTCTAGTCAGCGCATTCAGTAATATCGGTGGCCTAGTAATAGTAAGGGGGCCGTTGGACTGATCGTGCAGTTCAAATAGGTAGGTCTAGCCGTAAACTTTTTTTCAGTTCTTATGAAACAAGCTTTCTCGATTAACATGAAAAGGCAAACGTCGTCAATGGAAGAAAAAGAATGCGCGTTTATAACATCGAACATGAACGGAATCGTATTGGAGCTCCGGCTACTGCAATTCGATGATAGACGGACAATAAGAAAGAACCTAAAAGCAAAGTAGTAACGTGTCAATCGGTGGCTTAGTACCGGAGGGTACCAAAAAGGCACGGATTACTAGTTTTGGCTTTTAGATCACGATGTACTCATCTAAAATAGTGGGGGCACACCACTTGGCCAACCCGCTAAACTAATTTCTTTGGTAACGCTTTTGCTTTTATGCTGTTTTATTGGAACTCTGCATATGTAAACAGAACAGACGTTTCTAAGTGGTAAGAAACTGAAGTCGAAGAAAACCAAGAAGCCTACGATTGCTAGACTAATTTAATATAACTTAAGATACTTATTTCATTCATGCTAAATATACTGACACGTAACTGTCCACAATCATCATTCAGAACAACCACCGATTATCCATATTTAAATTGTTGACGCTTACTATTTATCTGGTACCGGATCATACACGGATATACTTAACACGGGTCGTAACATTCGCACTTTCACAAGTTTTGATTAGGATCCAATTAATACGGTATACTGTTGTTACTTTAGCCAATGATAGACCTGCACTAGCATAGCGTGATAGATCAAAACGTTTTGTCCTATTCAAATCATACGGAGTTTTATGAAATTCTGGATAGGCTTAGACCTTACGGCTGCACCATGAAATCGGTAAAGTAGCAGCAATCAACAAAAAACGAATATTTTGCATTTTTATTTAGATTGATGTTATTTACATTTGCTGTAAGCGTAAACAAACCTGCAATTCGTCGCAACATTGCGATAAGAGGCGCCAAAACTCACACAAACAGAGTAATAATTCTTTATTACCCTTGTTGTTTGCATTCATTTCGTTTGTACAGTCATCTTGAGTGGCTACTTATCGAGCTTAACTTTGTGGGTTTTGCTAATTCCCGGTAATAACATTTCCCGCCTTTTTGTCTGGGCCACAATGGTTCGTATTGAGTAACTCAATGCCAAACTAGACAAGTGTGACCTTGGAACCCGAAACCGTCACCAAAAACATCGGAGAAAAATTAGGAGTTTACGCCGATTGGTGCCATGGGAGCAGTTCGTATTTGGTTCGAAGATTATTTAGCAACGTTCGTAACATGTAACTGAATTATATAGTAAATTCTAACGACAGCAACTTTTAAACTGTGTGTAAGCTGGACTTCGATTAATTTTTGTCGAAAAATCTTTATTTAATAAATTTTATTTATTAAACGTTTTCCTGACTTGAAGCAAAAGACAGTGCGCAAGACGTTTCGCTAATATTATTCGCGACAAATCAGTTTGGAATTTCTATTGCGAGCACGTTCCTTGGACTCCTTGCGAACTCCAGTCTTGGGGACAGTATCTTACGACGATGCCATTTTCATCTTTGCGACAATCGCTATTTGCAATACCGAAAAGGAAACGTTTTACGTACAGGTTACAGGAATTCTTTAGACAATTTAGTCTTCGACTAAAGTATGAAGTCCACGATATGGATATACTGTTATCTAACACTATCTAACACCTTCGCCCTAGAAGTATCCGCGCCCCAGACGTTCCCCTGTGGAAACTGATAAGATTAAAATCATGTCTCGGAGATTACGGTCTGCCAACGAAAAAGAAAAGCACTGGATTTTTACAAGACCGTATCCTCAGCAGGCTTTACTTTTTTCATTTTTATAGTTACTCATACGAGGTTGCAAATATTACAGCGTTATTTCTATTGTTCTATTCACTATTTAGCGTCATCGGTGTAATATTCATATATACTTTGCTGAGTTCGGCCCATGTGAAGACCTTCTTCCAAGATAATATATAGATCGAGGATGCCCTAAAGCAGTTTGTTTTAATCATAAAATAAACGTAGGGCCATCCTGTGGATACGTTCGTACAAGATGCGTGTAGTCTGTAGCAAGTCAGCTTTGCATTAGCGTAACATATAGACAATACCTAATTTAGCATATTTTTCTTGAAATACCTTTTGATCTTGCCGTCACCATCAAACGTGTATACCAAAATAATTTTAAAATGTGTACGCAACGACAAACGATCATTGGCAAAAAATATTTTTCCGCAGCCGGTGTCGACTGTAGTGTCGTTACTAGCAAGTGAAACCGATTTTTCCCGCCAATTTCTGCCCGTAACCTTAAACTTACTTGCGTACGTATCCATGCTGCGCGGGCTTTTGCGAGTTCTTCCTGCCCTAATGCCTAGTCTGACCTGGATCCAAAGCAACCGCCGCAGTAGTAGAACCATCTCACTCGACAATCGTTGCCTTTGCTTCAACAAAAGTGGCCGTTGGGCACAGTTATTCACGGCCCAGTTGCGACCACCCACACATATGCCACTCAAGGCTCTCTTATTTACCTAAACCCGGAACGTCTGCTTCATTTGAACGATCGATTGATGCATTCGAGAAGGTTTTACAATCGGAGTCCCCCGTCCCCCGAACCTCTTCCTCAATCTGGTCCTTAGCGTTCCTTTTGTTATGCATATTTTTTACTGAGTGGCAACTGTGAACAGGGGTGGATCCGGCCAGATGGGCAATGTCCGCTAGCGTACGACTTTATAAAAGGAACGATGAATACAAAAACATGCATAGACGACAGAAGACAGTGTGTCACGGATAATAATGATATAAAGACGATTGAGAGGGACCGTGGGAAAAGAGAACGAACATTATATATACAAAAGGCTGAAGGAAGGAAGCACCGAAAACCGGTCAGTCATTTGCTTTCAAACTTCGTCTGTGTCTGCCTTTGTTCAGGACAGGAACAATATGAAAGGATTTTTCACCAACATAGATACTTTTTTATGATAATTACTTTTTTTTTTATAATACACATTGAAACAATTGTAATATAAATTATTCTACTACGACGAAATACCGAAAAATACTACTAGAAAATACCACTATGTACTTTTTAATACGTAATAATATATTATTATTATATATATTCTTACTTTTTATACATGTATAAAAATATATAAGTAATAATAATAAAGTAAAAATACGAGATTTTTGGCGATGCCATATTTACAATATATTACATCATATTATTCAAAAATTGTTAATGAACCTAAAATTCTGAAGGCTGAAGCTTATAGATGTTCACAAGGAAGTAAGAGCAATCGACGAAGGTCAGTAATACTGAGTACCAGAGTGCGTCAAGCTCAACGGAGTAACAAGGAAGTTGATGAGCAGTTGCTAAAAAAATAACATATATCTGTTCCAGTCATATTTGCTTTTTCAAGCTGTAACAAGTAATTTCAGAACATTAACTGAAAATAACGGTAACTGGAAGTATTGAGATTATTTTTTTAAAGCTAATCTAGTATATTCGTCATGATTAGTTAGACATCAAAACATTGCAGTGTTGACACAGGGCTGCTTTTTGCCCCCAAACAGCACATTATTTTGGCAAACTCCGGTATCAGCATATTACAAATTTGTTTAACAATCAAATATCTGTGACGAGTTCTGGGATAAAAATAAACTGATTAAAAAAGGAAACACCATTTGTCTGCCTCTCATACATGACTACCTCCATAGTTACACGCTCCCTACACACAACAATAACAACACGGTTAGTCAAGTTTATGTGCTTTCCATGGACGTTAAGAATGTGTAATTCTTATTGCTTAATTCTGACTGACTGTCAACTGCTATAGAAAACAACTATAATATTAAATTTTCCTCTTCCCTTATTGACGATGTAAAGCGCTCCCTATTTCGTCTCGACAGCGAGCCACCTACGTTGCTCCATGATATGTCCATATCTTTGAATGCGTTCAACAGGAATATCGCGCATATGACCGTCATGAAGCCGGACATAAGCCCGAGCGTGTCAGTCTCCGTCAGGTTCGCAAATTCATTGAACAGTATCCCTGATGCGATTAGAACAAACGTCGTAAAAAACACATAGTAGATCGGAGTAACTATGGCCGTATTGAAGATGTCTAGAGCTTTGTTCAAATAGTTCATCTGCACCGACACGCAGAGTACAACGGAAATAGAGCAAACCCAGGTGACCCAATGGAACATTTGGTTGTTTCCATCGATAGTCTCGCGTATGGCTAAGCCCAGACCTTTGCATGAGGTCACCGAGAGGCTGCCGATTAGAGAACAAATGAGAATGTAGATGATGACATTGCTTTGACCGTAACGTGGAGCATAAACCCAGATAAGGGTAATCGACGCCATTGACACGAGAGCGACATATATCAAAAATGCGGGTTCCAACAACATCACACCCAGGACATTGACATGGTTCACGTTGCCCTCTTTCGGACTGTGCAGAACGATCACTGTCGAGCCGAGAATGCAGAGAAGACAGCCGACCTTGCCAAGCAGATTGAGCCGCTCATTGAGGAAGTGTGACGAGAGCATCGCGCTCACGAGGACGCTTAAAGCCCCTAAGGGTGTCACAAGTAAAGCTGAAGTAAAGGCGTATGCAGCGAAGTTAGCTATTTCTCCCACGCCCATAAGCAGTAATCCGGTCCACCAGACCTGCGAATAGAGCGGTAGAAACGTAGCAATTAGCAAAGATTTTTCCAAATTATATGTAAAAGTGTGAACGGGATAGTGGGAAAACGGTAATCATACACTGAAATATTTCCAATATATATTATAACGAAGTATAAGATAATAGGCTAAAAGCGATTAAACCAAACTCTTTCCTCCTGTATGTTTACTTAGTTTTTTAAACAAAATTCATATGAGTGCGCGTCGTATCTGAGGAAAAGTAGTCAGGCGCGCAAAGAACTTTCGAGTGCTTCCGAGATCACAAAATCTCATTAGAGCGTGAATAGCTCTGTGAACTTTGCTAACTACAACATACACAAAGCTATTTCATATGCTTACCCAATCTTTCAAGTATCCAAAACCGCCCGCGCCAGCTCGTGTTTTTCCTGACGCGCCACCAAGCCTAAGCAGTCCCTTCTTCTTTACGATAAATGATGATCCTATAAATAAACTGCTACTGATGGCCAAGATTAGACCAATAGTAAACTGGTCACGTTTGACGGCTGCGATGCCATCTTGGATATTGCTTGCAGGTTCCGTCGACTTATCTGAAACATCAAAGATATAAATATGTATCATCGATTGTATGAGCACACTGTCATACAGACGCCGACTACTTATAGTCTAATAACGGAGAGTTCATCTAGCGTGAATCAAACGACTTAAATAGGCGAACGACATGCTCTCAAAGTCTGTTCCACTTTCGACTGAAACAGCCTTTGACAGCTGCTTTACCGAAAAATGGTCTCCTAGATTTACTAAGTTAGAAGATATGTTGAAGAAGTGATACTCTATATATATGTCCAGATATATACGACTTGGTAGATCTGACGCTCAATTTAACTTGAATCCTGCCGACCGGATTGACTATAGGCTATTTACAAGTTACAGTAACGATGTAGCGTTACGACCAACGCAAGCAACGTTGGATTGTATTGAACAACTTCACCACTGGTCCCTTCTAAAGATAGGACATCGCTCAAAGTAGCTTAGTGACGTGTAAACTTAGTCTTTTTAAGCATTACTGTGTGATTTTGATTAATGTCTGTGTAAAAAGATAAAGCGTCTTTCTTGACCAACTTATTAACTATTCCAACACGAATTTACTAAATTATGAAAATCATTAACTGTGGTATCTGGGCGTATTGAGGATCCTGGTCTATTCGGATGGCACTGAACAACATTTACATCCTGCAGCCCACCATAGTTCCTCACTTAGGTACCATGTGACTTTATGTGTGCGGGTTTGTGCCACCCAGAACAGCTCTTTAAATGCTTTGGATGGCACAAACCTCTGAGGCGAGTGCACAGAACAGGTTGAGTTTTTGTAGGAGGCGGAAATGATATCCTACGAAGAGCTGGATGGATAAGCCAATTAGGCGAACACTTTTCCTCTCGAGAACAAACTTCCTTTAGCCCCATAGAGCGTGCTAATTTGATTAGGCACGAGCCGACGCCAGCGACTTCAATTTCCCAAATTTAAAAACAAGATCGCAAGATCGCCTATAAGCACCAAGGCTCCTAGAAGCATCGCTCGCGTTGATGGTAATATATGATCAAATGAACAAGTATGTATTTCTGTGTATTACATGAATAAGTACGCTTAACGTGTGTTGCATGAAAAGGTTTGCCTAACGCGTATCGCATCAAAAACTATGCTTGAACTTTATATAGCGTAAAAGCCCTTCAAGTTATAGCTATTAGGGAGTAACAAAACGTTATTCAATTTTACCACTATTATAAATATAATTAGCTTTTAAGTAGCCGAAAGGCGCTTGGTAACAAAGTAATAGCGCGAGATCGCGGGTCGCGCTCTGGTCCGTTATTACAGCAGAGCTCACTTATCGTCGAGAAGCAGCTTTTCTTTCGAGACCTTATACACTGCTTTTGAATTTAAATATGGCGCCATGTGTCCTACATGTACCAATTCACTGTACATCCGAACGACATGAACAGGCATTTCTTCCGCAAGCACGACTCTGAACTCAACTTGTTACACGCTGCTCGCAGTATTATGCCTTCTTTCTGGATTAGCCTATACATTTTATTATTAATATGATCATAAAGGGATTGTCGAATATTGCCAATGTTTTTTGCTGGATACTGTTTGTTGGTAGAAAAAAAATTATAGGACAATCAAATCTATTGCAGGGTCTCTTACCGTAGTCGAGCTTGTGTCGTTCTTGCGCTTGGCCAGTAGTCAAATTTCTCATGCAGTTTATAGTTATCCCTCTTACATTCAGCCATACCGCATTCACACTTGGCTATTTATTTGTCGATAGCTCCTAATACCGGCCTGAAAACCGAAGCGTTCCTGCCAATATTATTTGCCTCCATTATGTTATCTTTGGCAATTTGTAGTGTCGCACACGTTGACGTGGGTGCGTTCCGGTGTTAGCGCACGGTGCAGTGACACCTAGCCCGTCTAGGAGTCGTTCAGAACATATAATAACAATTCCCTTTAATACTGATATCTCTGTAGAATGTCTCCACTTATTTTCCAGGTTCTTTGTATGTACAACAAATTATCTGAATGAAACTAAACAAAACAAAAAAGAAAATGCCCACTACCAGATCGAAAACGCATCTTGGCAACACCGAAATAAGAACACCATGCGACAACACTGAATAGTCGAAGTTTTGTGAGAACCCAAATTATTGGACTATTAAATTACACGCGATTGTTCCCTACACTCTCTCCGACGGTGTCTGCTGTTGTGGTATAATGAACTTAGTAAAAAACCTACACACACACACACACACACACACACACACACACACACATTTCGAAACACGTGGTTGTTGGCAAAATGCAAATGCAGACGTAGTCAGAGTAAGTGACCCCGAGCATCGATTACGTTCACTGCTCCTGTCATTTTGTAGCCAAAGGTACCAGCCTTAGAGAATAACAATATTATGACTAATTCTATTGAAATGAACAAAATTATCAATTTCTTAGCTCTAAACTAGTTATGAAACGATAAATGAACAACCTTTAACTAACTTAACCTGTAAGCACAGTAAATTTGCAACAGCGATCAAATCATATTGCCAAAAACATTGATCAGTATATTTATAGCGTTTATTTCGCAGCTTCTAACCAAACACAAACACTTCACAGTTAGGGAAACAATAGTCACAACTAGTAAGAATATCTCTTTGCTTCTGCTAGCTAAACCTCCTTATAGGGGGCAAGCAACAGGTCGGATCACAGCATACCCTGCGTTTCAATCGTTGCCGTAGATACAGACCACTTCCTAAAATCCAACCTTTATAAACCATATTATAAGCGGTCTAAGTCAAACAACTCGATCACGATGGTCATTATCGTGGTTACTTGGAGACTAACAAGATCTATTATAAATACTGTACGTAAACACTGTGTTGTAACGAAAAGTGGCCAACTTACTACCAATCGTGTGCGAAAATGACTCATTAAATGATTAATGCCTGTGTCTAAAGCACGACCCGACTGAACCTGACGGCAGTTACCATTGAATCGTGCGATGACAAATAATTAAACGCAGTTGTGCGAAATCGGACAGGCGGGCAGGCAGGCAGGCAGGCAGGCACGCACTACATTAGCGTAACGCTTTCAAAATTGAATATGCTAAACACTGCTACCTGTTAGGGGATAAGGCCTATTTGCTGGCCGTATCTGTTGGCTTGCCATATCTCTGTGGCAGGTTTGCGCTGTGAGATGCACCTATGCGCATCAAATCAGTGCCCTTAGGATATGATTAGAAAGTGTTTCGTAAACAACACATGGTTCAAAGGGGATTTAGAAGCGAACTTCATTGCCCAGCAGATACCATAAAGGCAATGCATTTTTCTATAATAATATAATTTTAATCAAAGTATGTTAATGCGACACTTACGACCCATATCGGGTGTCATAGAGATCGACATAAGCTGTGTCGACTTATGCTAAATTCAAGCTTCTTCCTGTAACGTGCTTGAAAAGCTCTTGATAAAGTGCCATAGGCAGGACTTGGTAGAGTTGTATAGTGAAGTATTGTTCAAAACATATCTGCTGTAACAGGGGCCAAGGATGCATTATAGTATTAGTCCGCACAGAAATATCCAAGCCGATTTAAAAGAGCGCTTTGAACTTCAGCATCAGCTCCTGTATAGATAAGGGCATCGTGTGTTTATTTTCTACGCTAATGAAACACGTACGTATTACATGCCTATAAAAATGAAGGCTTTAGTTTTTACAACATTATTGTAGGAATCAACGTATGCAAATGATATATTGCAAAATCAGCTCTTATAAATATTACAGTTGAGTAAAAATATGTACTTAATATAGTTTTTGTCAAAGATTTTTGCTTACGACATAATCAACTAAATTTTCAAACGAACTGCAAAGTTATCTTTAGCTATGTTTAATCTCAGTTAATGGCAATACAAGTGTCTTATATTAAACACATCTGCTGGGTTCTGTGGACCCTCTTCTAAAGGACGCCCTTCAACTCGTAATTCTTTGTTGTAGCTTTGAGCTCATATCCGTATTTTCCGTAATTAGGTACTCGAGGTAACAAGAACACGTAGTTTTTTTACCCAGTAAAATCAACTAGTTTGATCATATACGATGTAATTTGCAGTTATACTCTATGAAGGATATTCGGGATATAAAAAGCTAAAATCTGTCAGTTTCTTCAATAGGCTACTAAATAGATGGCTAATTTAAGTGACACTCACGCATCTTATTGACTGTGTTTGAGTTGTAGCACGGCGTTCAACTTAACGTTTTTCCCCATTAGATACCATCAGACAGATGCACTCGGAATAGTTTAATCCATTAACTCTACCGTACGTCCTCTCACTGCTATTTTTTTGGCAGTCTATTCGAAAAGTAGAAAAAAATAATCACCTAATTAATTAAGGTATTGCCTTTCATTTGATCAGCCCTGTAGCTTGAAGAGAAAATTTAATGCAGTTCATCAGCTGGCGCTCACAGGAGCGCCGCTTCAAAGTCTAACATAGGGGCACGTAAATACAGCTCAGAGTAGAACGAGGTTTGCGACCGGCAGAGCGCATTCTTGCGCTCACGTAGTAAAAATATGGATGGGATTTAAGCAACTAATTCAATAAGTGGTCCATAGCACAAGCAATGCGTCTAGCACTTTATGATTTTATCTGGCAGTCATTGAGAGTTTACGCCTCAATGAGAAACAACACTTGCACTTGAACTAAAAAATGGTGCGCATATGCTACGTTTTGTTCACTACGTCGTCTGTCTTGGTCGTATAAACACAAAAATATTCACCTCTCGCAGGTAAAGCGAGCAGGACATTCGTTTCATTCGGACAACAACATTGCCTTAATTTACAATTAATTGTTTATTCGTGTGGCGGCATTAATTACCAAAACACTTACAAGTTACTGATCTTTGCCTAGTTTCCAAAAGCAGTGTCTCTTCCTGGAAAAGCAACTTTGGCAAGGCAGTCATTTAAAAATTGGCGCTATGTCAATCTATTGGCTCTTTGTGCGAGCGTCCTTTCCTATTCTCCGCTTGCATCAATGAATATACCGCCAATGGCTTCATTATCTGAACGGAATCCTCACCTGACAGCTGTTTCTCTGTAGCAAGTGGTCATCCCTTCACCATTAAGCATTGCGTTCTGCCAGTATGTTCGAGGGAGAACAGCTGACAAGCGATTCGCGCTTGCTCACCACCCTCAGGCGTGTGTAACGTGTGTCCTGCTTAGAATGACAGACAGGTCGGTAGCGAATACCTCTTGCTTTGTTCTGCACAGTGGCTGCCAATGGGTCTGCCCGCTTCGGTGGTAGCGTTGTCTTTCGGCTAGCTGATATCAGAAAAGGCAGACACACCCCAACAGACACGGCGAAACGGTCGAAATCGGAGCTATAACTACTCCTGCTATCTCTTTTTTTTTTTTCGGTGATACCGTTAGTGTCCTAGTTCTGTCAATGGGAGGCTACCCACAAGAAGGGTGACTATAATGAACCAGTCTACTGATAGAGACACAGCATGTCTACAAGTGTGTAAGGGGGCAATGTGAGTGTTCGAGTGCTGTAAACAATGATTAAGCGTTGAGACCAATAAAAAACGTGGAGATGTTTTGATGACAAAAGAGACGACTCGCTGCCGTTAATGTTTTGTTCGTGGTCATGTAAAGATGACGAGCTGTTCCGCATACTGTACTGTAATTTACGCTTTATAATTAGCTCAATCTTATTCTCGATACTCCTTCGCCCTGTGTTTTCTTGGCGGTCGGCACTGATTAAAGTGGAAGCAAAAAGAGGCAAAAAGTGTGACAAAGGCGTTTCAGTTAAAAAAAAAAACGAGCGGGCAACAGTTCTGTTTCTGTTGTGTGGAAACGGGCGCCGTGAACATGAACTGGACTCAGATCGTAGCTGATCTGGCAACTTTGGCCACGATCATTAACTTCGCTAGTGGAATGTAAGTGTTCGGAGGACGGTTTTGGTTGATTCAAAATAATGCCGATTCATAGCTATAGGTGCAACGATACGATAGGTCAGAGATTGGCAGTTGTTCTATTTGTTTACTTCTGTTCATCAACACTTCTTGAGAAGTTGATTGAATTCGCTTCTAAGCTTGATCAATCGGTTCCACTAGTGTGCGTGTATAGTTCGTCCTAGTGACGCGCAATTTTTTTACTGTTAAAATATGGCATTTTTTGCCAATCGCCATAGACAATAGTCAACGTTCCATCTTGATTATTCTAACGGATATAGTGGTCGTGGTCAGTTATCAGTGTGTGATTAAGCTCGCGGTATTTCTATTTAGAAATTTTCATTTACACAAGATACACTACTATTATTTTTTTTTCACCACTACTACCTAGAGCTCGTTGAAAGAGGTTTCCGCATTTGAGTTACCGGCCTCGATTAGTTATTAAAGCTGGTATTTGGGTGTTCCGGGGTCCATAGTAGCTGCTCCGTCGGAGGCGAAACGCCATCACTTCCATAGCTTTTTTGGTTGGTGAAAAGTGCCAGAGCGCATGTTTAACGCCCATCCAAGGACACGTTACTTAGCGACAGTGCATCGATACTGTGATATAGTGGACTTCTGGAAAGTAATGACGATTTTCGGTTTGTACGTGTACCAGTTATATTAGTGGTAGATCTTAACGGCCCTATAGCGCAGAGAAGGCGAAATATTATTTGATTACTCACAAAGGAAAATATTGAGAGACACGAAGCGATAAACAAAAATTGCTATTACTATCTGATACCTAGCAGACCATTAGACCGAGCTGGCCATCTGTCAAAGCTGTTACCATTATATTTACTTTATTAAGAACTATATTGCTTTTCAGTAGAGCAGAGATACGGTTTTCACGCTTGTCACATGATGATCAGTTGTTAAATTCAGATAAACACAAGCTCAAAGATGTTGACGAGGCTGAGCGTGTTATAGGCTTTGTCCTCTTCTATCGCCCATAGCCTCTACGACATTACGCGCATTGTATACGTTTATGTTATTGCGCGCAACTGTTTATAGGTACGTCGTTGTATTATTGACGTAGTAAAGCGAAGTGCAATAACCGATGACAGAATCGTATTGGAGGTAGTTTAATGCACCCCAGCACGTACAGATATAAGAAACAATTCCTCGCTCTAATTACTCCGATCGTGTTTTAGTTATAGTTTTATTAAATATCAACTACGTGCTTAATGGGGTCTACAGACGCGCATTTATGTGTCAATAACTTCGTTTACGGAAGTGTCATTTCTCTATGTGGAGGTGAGCTTTTGGTTGTCCGGCAGATAATTTCGCGTTTATTAAACATATTCCTACTATATATAGCTGTAGTTTCTGGATTGATTCCGTCGTATGACCACATGGGTGAAGGCTGACTTCGCATGATGGCGACCAGGGGGTCCTTGCACAGCCCTGTGATTCATGCGATGCAGCGGCTTGAGCTTCTGTCGATCATTACATTGGCGCTTGCAGGCGGATGGACAGAAAACATAAGGCCATTGGAGAAACCAGCAGGCTTTACAATGTTTATGCACCTTCGTTGGAAGTTTGCGCCGAATGACACATTTATTTCGCGTTGACTGTTCGAGAAGAGAAAAGGACGATAATACAGACGTACATTGTGATATAACAATCGGTATATTATTGAAAAAATGAAAAATTGTTAAGATGATGGCCAGGGATTATGAGCCGTTTCAGTCTATGGTCAGCCTCAGCCTCAGCCTCTGCCAGCCTCAGCTTGTCCATGTGTCTTTTCTCTATCATTTGAACAGTACATTCAGAGAGTTCTCAAATCTACACTAACAGTTATTTAAATTCAACAGAAATTCACGGAAGTTGTAGAGTTACGTGTGGTACCAGTAAATGCTTCGAGTTGCTATAGACTCGCGCATTCAGCGTCTTGTTGGCAAGTCAGCGTCGAGTTTACATAGAGGCAGCCATTATTATCTGTCCATGAAAGGCCCGATTTAGTAACTTAAGCTTGCTGGATACTACGATAATGCATTTCTAACGTGCGCGAGTTAATAATACCCGGTGAAGTCTCTATAAATTCGAGTAGTCAGAAGGTTATATGATTGAGCTTTAATCCATTTCGAAGGCACTATAAACAGATGTCAAATTTCTCGGTTCGCGTACACTCATGAAATTCTGTTGCCAGCAGAACTAAATTTCTCCGGCATGATAGGCTGACTCTATGTTCGCTGTTTCATAGCGCGAGGGGAGCTATTATTGCCCCAATTGCGAGTAAAGTTTTTTGATATGGGGGATGCTATTGCCGGGTGGCGACTATTTGATCTTAGCCGGAAGCATAGCGTACCGATCAGGACTTTGAAGTATGCCAAAAAAGCTTTTACAACTCAAGTCGCATTCTCTTATAAAAGCCACAGTGAAACAACAGCCACCTGTCTGTCAAAAAAGTGGCAGGAAATCACTGGCAACCGTAGCGAAACACCGACGTTATGCTGTTTCAAATAGAAGTTTAGCTCACGTGAAAGGGAAACCGATTTACAATGTTCTTTTTATTGAGTGGCTCGCCCTTGTTTTCTTAGGCCAACACCACGAGTTGCTAAGTTGCCACAGCTAATGGTCATTGTTGATTAAATTTATCCATTTTCTGTAGCTCAGCATTGCTATGTGATATATAAGTTTGGTCTCATGCCTTCCGCGCGATTATTTCTTTTTGGCGTTGCTTACGTAAGGTCATCATCCATCAATTGTACAAGTGGATAGTTGTACTTTCCCTTTAACTGCTAGACATGTCCTGAGCGTCACTTGTCTTGATTTGTAACAGTTCAACCGATACTTTAAAGCGCAAAATAGTTGTGTATCCTTTGGATAACCTTACACGACGTGTCGTTACAAAGCCAAATAAATTCGTATCTTACACATATCAAATGAATATAAAAGCTCTGTTCAGCATATTTGCAACGGACATCCCCTATTCAACCACCCCTGTTAATAGCTTCTCTTATGTTTTTATTTTATAAACGGACATATATCGATAGCCTTTAGCGGCCCTGTTGGCGCGGTGAGCATAATAAATAATGTACGAAAAAAAAATAATTGTCATCTTCGATTCAGTTTGTTAATTACGACAACTTCCCCAAATGCTACTTAGAGCTCTCCGATAGCCAGTCATTTTTCAGGAAATCGAAACGTCTCCACATCGGCTATTAAAATTACAGCTGTCACCAAGTATACTACATTATTACATAAGAATTTTTTTTCTAAATCTTTTGCTGACACCTCGATGGGCCCATCCTAGTAAGATGGAAGTATGATGGAACCTAGAAGTAATGGTACAGTGGTATATATTGTAATATTCTGCGATACTATTGAACATGCATGATGCCCGACTGATTCCTGACCGCGGTGTCAAAGGTTGACCTTGGGGATTTGCTGCTTCTCGAAGCGATAGTGTTAACATCACAGTACGCGGCAACGTGAACGCGCCAGCTTTCGTTGAATAACCTTGTGGCTATCCATAGTTGCTCTAAATTAACTGATAAAAATATATAGAACAGTTTATTTAGTTTTAATTCATACGATTTAGCAACTATAAACTGTACAGGTCGAATCAGCGACGCGTATGCCCATACAGCGTATGGGTCGTAGGTCTGTAAAAGTCATCCTATGGAAATAAAGCTGCTGTCGTACATCAGGTGACGATGGTAAGTGACTACGAAGTCGTCCTCTGTCTTCGACGATGAAATCATGCATCGAAGGTACAACACTTGATGGTTTAAACAGAATCTGCAGAACTTTAACGCTGTTCTATTTGTATCAGCGTCGTATCCTATGAATGTATTATTTTTGAATTTTTCTTCCGTTTAAATTTCATAAGGAACTCTCCACGGACGCACTATAGCTCTCTCTCGTACATCTGTAGAGATCAGAGACGTTTGTCCTATAGTGAACTAAGCAGGATTGAGTGAGATTTTCAAATATTATTATCAGCGCCCCGTGGTGTCAACACGACTTTTTGTCCAAGAGAAAATTCTAAACCGAATAACACAGCACGTACATTATACGTAACACAGATTAGCGCCGCGTTATTTTTTATTTGCGTCATTTGCATTTTCCCGTTGGCTTTTCTTTTGGTTAAACTTTTTATTCTTTTGGCCTTAAAATGAAGTCAAAATGTATTATTAAAATCATTAATAATAACTATAGAGACCACTTTGATATTGGCTTTAAGCATTAGTCAATGGCTCGCATCTACTAACATGGAGTAGAGAAAAATTTGCTCACGTCAGGCTTTAGAGCAGGATCGCCCGAGACGTCCTTAAGTTCGATTCTCCTACATTACAATGGTCACACCGGGTGTGTTCGAACCACACTCTGTGTGGTTCGAACCGCGGCATTTAGCCTATCTCATATGCACAAGCGGTCCAACCAGTAGTGATGACTGTTCTGCGATAGCGAACCGTGTTACGCTCACATGTTACAGGGAGGATAATGATGGATTCGGGCATAACTATTAATTATCACAATACAAATTGTTAGTCATATTAACCAAAAAAAGGATTTTTGTACTACGTAGCCTCCAAAAAAAACCCAGTGTAGGACAATAGTATATCCAATTTTCTAACTACGACACCCTTCCTCAAACTCTAAACACGAAATTTTCGAGTATAACTTTTCGATCGTGAAATCTCAGGCCAAGCCCAGCCACCAAGAAAGAGATCGTAACTCTTTTTCTTCTTTGTAAAATAGATTAATCTATTTTCCGTAAAGACCCCCCCAATTATCAGTGCATATGACGCATGATTCAAGTCTAGATTTTTATCTTCAACCTGTACTTTATATAACGCATCTTCCATATTCATCCTCGAATTTTAGTTTGGCTTTCGGCATATGTAACATTTCGCCTAATATAGCATATGTTCTAGCTGTGGCAAAGTTCCAATAAAGAAAACAGTAATGGCGTTCTTAGCCGACACTTTTGCTTCCGCTCTGTGACGACCAGCAACAGGCTTTACGCATTGTGATAGTTCCCCGTACCGCTTCACTAGAACGCATGCGACGCCGTTCCGGCTGGGTCCTTATAGCTCTGTTATCACTAGTGATTCCCTTTAAAAGATATTAGGCACTGTGATAATAGTAAAAGTAATTAAACATTATGATAATCATTTAATTATGTATCTTAATCATTTCTTCTTTAGCGAGAATCAACGGTAAATATGTGCTTTTGGTTCGTGGTCTAGTAGAACAAAGCAGGGGAAACTGTAGGTGTCACTATTATAAGAGAATTTCCTCTTAAAAAACAGTAATTAAATTGGATAGTTCCCTGAGTTGCGCCTGATCTGAGCAGGTCACAGGTACAAAACACCAAATAGTAGCCTAGAAAAGTTTGCATTCGCGCGAATACTCTATTAGTTGAATAAAAATCATGTGACAAAAGTTGTAATACATCAACTTTACAAGCTAGGACAGAAATAAATAATATTGCCGGACACTTGTTGGAACTTTAGCGAAGGCGGATGCATCTTGTTGAAGTGACTCGATATTAATGGTTATTCCTTGTCTGCTTGTTGAATTTGCCGTTTTCGCCTAGCTACCAGATAACGCCGATTGTATTGTACATGCGTCGCCTGTATGTATCAGGACAGTTCCTTTACTTAAGCAGTTGGATCTGTTTCTCTTCATAGCTGGATCCGCATTCACAGTTTCAGATGTACAATTATAAAACTTGTCTAGAAATATAATATTATTAAGAATTTCGACTAAACATTTCGGTATAGTTTGAGACGCTACCAATGCATTGTCGACAGTAACTCATCTGTTTTTACAGTTACCAGGACAGATTTCTGCGACAGTATGGCCATTTACCCCTAATCAACAGTACACTGTAGTAAGTTTTCAAAATGGCACCAGCTGATTTATGTTTAGCTTCAGCTAATTTCCGATCTAACATAAAAGGGAATAGAGGAAGCCCAACATGGCCGCGGGAGGAAACCGTACTTGAAGCTTTGTTGGCAACTGATCATGAAAAACGGCGTTACCCGCTGGCAGAAGCGGTACAACGCCAGCTGTCAATATTCAGGATGTCATTCAGACAATAACTGGCCACGTTTCCTAATTACGTTCTCATATCAGCTGTGATATTACTGACTACTACATTTGAAATTAAAGGCCACAGAACTTAAGTTTGACCACTGTGATTTCTTTTTCTGCATCCGAAATCTAGAACAGCAATACAATATTCTATTGACTGTTTACTAAATGTTACAGCGTTATGCGTGTGGGCTGGATAAAAGCAAGGGTCTCAGAATCCTACCCATGTTTGGAAACAAATCTTCCATTTCTATGTTTGCGATAGGTGCGATTTTGTCTCGTCGTTTAGTGCACTGCAAATTTGAGTTGAGTGAAATAACATTAGTGCAAAAAAAACGTATACACGGCTTGACCAAACAAGGCACGGAATTTTCAAATGTTGCACGGCCTGTCAATGCCCGTGACAGCTTAGTGGGTGACGTAGCACCGCGTTGGAAATGTTGAATGCTACCTTTGACGAAGTCTCTACGAGTTAAAAAAGCGTTTACAAACTTTCCGACTTGTGAAAATGCTGCGAGATGGCCAGTTCAGGACCAGTGATATTGTCCGATGGACAAGCTGAATTCAAATGATTATGAACAATTACCTTTTTTTTATTATTATTACCAATTATCAGAGAGGTTCCTGATGATATTAGCATATCAGTTGGCTTATGGCAAACGCTTTTGTTTGAATGTTTTAGGCATAGCGAGTGTATGGGAAGTTTTGCAAGCTTAGAACTATTGAATTTCAGCAGTGTCGAATGAACATTGCTCAAGGGTTATAAACGAAGATCCAGGACTGCTCGAACGGATCATACCTAGTGCAGAAGCATGGCTGTGATATTGAAAATGAGATTTAATGGTACTAATATAAATTTTCTGAAGAGCGAAGGTCGAAGAAAGCTAAGTTCGATTAAATGTGAGGGTTCTAATTACTGTGTCCTTCGATTTCAACGACCTAATGTATCAAAAACTTCTACCATTAAGCCGAACCGTCAATAACAGGATAGCACGTAGGTCATTTGCTCGTTAAATAATCAGAAAACAACGACAGGATTTTGGAGGAACAATTATTTATTACGATAGTGCGCCTAGATGCGCCTCACTGCTTGTCGATCAGTCTTAAGTGAAATATTGGCGCATGCGTCAAATAAGGCTCGTTGGAACATCTTTTTGTATTAAGCAGAAAAGAAGGACAACGCTTTGAAGTCGGAGTCGCTAAGAGAGCTATCATTCATTTCGGAAACCGTGCCTGAGGATTGTTTTCTGGGCTACAAAAGTATGTCAAATTGGGAGTACTTCGATGAACACAAATCTACGAATAGATATTTGTGGACAAAGAATAAAGTCCTAGTTCTTTTTAATCAAACTTTGTTGAATGTTCTTTAACTATTACTATTAAACCATTACTTATTGACTGGATGGGCTTCTTATTTATTTTTTCGTTTATTAATATTTTAGTGAAATATGTCATCGGATCTATAAGCAACAGTCGACGTCGGATTGTACGCCTATGCCATTTATGATGGGCATGCTTTGGTAAGTTTCAAATAATCCTGGTATACGTCCACTTCATGATAGTATCATAAGAAATCAACAATGGACAGGGTAAATGCTTGTTGTTTTTTTTTTATTGACCATGAAAAAAATTCTGTCGCTTGTCCAAGTGCCATAATTCTAACCATACCGCATAACTAACTGATGTATTTTTGTTCTTATGCATTTGCGTCCAGCTCGTTTCTGTGGTTTCAGTACGCGATTCTCAAGCCCGACATGGTCGTGGTAACGTTAAATGTGATTGGCTTCACCTTGCAAACGACGTTTTTATTTTGGTTCTACCTCTATACGAAGCCAAAGGTAATACTTCGCAAGTCAAATGCTAGATTGGATAGTGAGAGCTGTTGATAATATATCGAACTATAGCATTACTCGCGTTTACCTTTACCTTCAACTATTCCAAATTGTAACTAATCGACAATGAAGCTTCGTGAAGCTGTACTTTAGACAGAAGACCAAATATAGTTGTAGTTAAAACGATCACGAGGCTATGTATAAATAAGGGTAATAATTTAAAACGGATTTAATTGAATGATTACCGGTTGTGGACCAGTATTTGTTCCATTCTGTAGTGCATGAGAATATTATTGGTAAACGATATAGAACGAATAGATTAAAATACGTCACAAACTTGTGTAAAGTTTGGCTTGTTGAAACGGTAACCTAAGCTGGTCACCATACAGCAAGGAAGCTAAGGAATATTTTTAATTTTTGGGTATGTAACTGCGTTAGACTAACGTTTTTTTTTTTTTTTAGTGAAAATATCTAAGAGATTTCCTTTTGATTCATGCCAACGATGCTAGTATCGTGCAATAATATTCATTATTAGAACGGGAATTTCAGAGTTTCTGGAAACCTTCAACTGTGCATTTTAGCATGGCGTGTGTCAAATACAACCTTGATAATTCTGTCTCTGTTAGTTCAGTTACTATCTATTTCATTACAGTTACTTAGTAGAGACTTTCGTTTTGCGGAGACAGTTCAGATGCGGTTGTTATTTCCTGTTGTTCAAGTGCAAAGGTATTGATGCACCTGAATAATAAGGCGCATATCAACGCCTCTAAAAATTCAAGTTCCACTTTCACCAAAAGTGGAACTTTAATTAGTTTACTGTCCCTAGCGGAATAGTCCACGTTAATGTTAGTTTACATCTAACACATTCTCGTGTAATGAATCCGTGCAGGGTCAACTCAACGTGCATATTGGTGCGTTGCTTTTACTAATTGTGTCTTTCCACACTTGGTTATTCTACGGGGTAGCTGATACCGATTCAGCTATGCGTACAGCCGGGTACCTTGCGATCGTAGCTTCTATCGCGTTTTTCGCTTCGCCCCTTACATTGCTGGTATGTATTAAATAATGAAAATTAATAAAGTATAACAAATTTTTACCGTGTCCACACACTGTCGGTAATATATATCATATCTATGAGTTATTTATTATTCCGCGAGTAGAAGCGCTGAAAGCATTTTGAAAATATAAACTCTATTATGCAATAGTAGCAAACATGCGACATTGAAGAACTCTGTGATGTCTTTTTGAAGATCTTTGATGACGACCGCATTGCCGTAGTTTGATATTTTGATATTACGTGCCTGTCCTTTGACTACAGTGGGTGATTACACAAATATTCACTTATCTAATGGAAAGGCTTGGTTAAAAAGAATCGATTATAGGTGACCCTGCGTAATAATGGTACTGATGTACGATGCTGTTAATAGTCCGTCAAATGTGTTATTGTTGTTGTTCCAGGCCCGAGTACTCCAAACCCGTTCTTCTCAATATCTTCCATTACCGTTAATATTATCATCATTCACCGTTGGTGTGTTATGGACCCTCTACGGATTATTAAAGCAAGATACGTTTATTACCGTAAGCACTTTTATTCTCTTCTTTTTTATTATGCCATCTACCTAGCAGTATGATGGCTTTAAACGGATGACGCGTTGTACTGTGTTTGTAAAGATATTCATCATACGAAATTGAAACATCTTCATCGTCTTTGAAAGACCGTTAGATTTCTGACGAATAGTCGAGTGGAAAAAAAAATGCATCCAGTACTAATCAGTATATTATCAATATACTGATAGGGATAGGCCCGATCGGATTTCTCTGACGACTATTGTTTTTCCTGCGTTTTATTGTGCAGACCAGTTCGAGTTTCTAGTACATGTTGCTAACTGAAGACTCGGAAATAGGTTTGACGTTGGAGATATATCAATTTGTAATTTTCAAATTTTACCTGCACTATGCTTTTCTGCAATAATTATGCCGTAGTAGTTCTATTTAAGTCTTTGTATCTACCAACTCGTTTTCGAATTGTTTCAGCACCCTAAGGCATGTGCCGCTTAATAGAATGCAACCAGTTATCCCTAATTTCCTATTAAAGTACTATTGTTTTTCTTATCTTTATTACCTGACCCACTTCCAGATTCCAAACGTGTTGGCGTCGTTGATCACAGCGTGTCAGCTAATCCTCATCTGCATTTTCCCAAGAAAGCCTCTATGCGATACACAACGACTCGTATGAGGGGTTGCGGACTCCTTATGCCGAGGCAAACGAAGCAGCTGGGTAGTAGTGTATAGTAAAAATAATTATATTTAATGCGTAGAAAAATCATAAAGAAAAGAAAGAAATAGTAATATATCTAGTAACACGAGAACAAGCAGCTACGATGTGTCTTGATGACCATCAAGCACAAAGCAAGTGCCGACCTCCGAATGCATTTGATCGGCTACACGAGACGCTTTGCGAACGATAGAAGAGTGTTCCCAGAGTCGGAAACATAGTATAAAAAAAAAACGTCATGCCGAAATGCGTAGATGTAAATGTATCGTAATGACTATTTTGAATAGTGTTATATATACAGTATGGATGCATTTTTATTTGTGGTTGATTACAACGTAAACAGTATGCACAAAATTAGGTCGTCTACTAATTAACTTGTGTCTTTTAATAAGGGAAATGTGAGTATCACAATTTTCTGGTTACTGGGCGATCTAAAGTTTACTCCGATTGCGCAAGTTAACCACTTGAGAGCTCAACATAAAAACGTTTTCATAGGAGAATACTTTAGAACATAGGTTTGATAATAATAATAGTAATACAAATGGCAATTTTAATAAAATTGACACAACGAAATAGGGATCTAGTTTTTTGATAAAAAGTGTGCTTATTGTAAAAAATATATCCATTATGATTACTCTCGGCATACTTGATCTTTTTTTCCAAATAAACGGATGCAAAACAGTCGTCAAGCAACACCTTAAAAACACCTAAAATCTTAAAATGGGTAAAGATTCATGCAGAAGGTGATACGTAATACGAGCGGAAACGAGGTTGTGCTGGAATTAGTGGGTAACTCAGACGCTCGTCTATTGATGGATGGAAAACAATGCCTTTACCAAAAAGTGGTGGATCCACATACTGTATAGATTTAGTATCTTCCATCGTGATCATTATAGGGTTACTGATATACGTAAGGTACAGGATATGTGACTTTCAATTGTAGTCGTCAACACGCATGACATATAGGCCTTTAGATAGCTTCATCAAAGTTGTATTGTTCTTCCATAGACATATCATTCGATGCTGGTGTAAATAGAGATTCGAATGTAAAAAAAGAAATAAATCATGAAGGTAGCACGTGGAGGCTTCTACTCATTTTAATATGACAACTGGTAGGATGTAGCATTAGCAACTATGGAGAGAAGTTGTTTCTGATGCAATTTTTTTGCATGAAGTTGTAACGGCTCGCCGGCTATCGATGTCGCCCAACGCTTTCTGTGTTCTTGAGCTCCTAATACATAAAACCTTTCACATTTAGTCAGTTTCATAGTATTTATTGTATGCCGTTGTTGTTCTTCTGTACATGTTGCCATTCTTCTTGTTAATTTACGGAACTGTTCGTCGACATCGCCGGTTCGATTGGTTATTAACAAATTCTTCAAAGTGTTTGACCAAATTATTAGCAAACCCTAGTTCCTTTAACACTTCAGTAGAAACACATGTAATGAAAGTCAAGTGCCAGTAAATCAGGAAATATAGTAAACGTCAAGTGGTGTTCCAGTAAAGACAATGAAAGCAACAAAGTGGCGGAAACCATGCCAAAACGTAAGAAAATACAGCTGGCGTTGGTGGCGACGGATGGATCATTGCTGCGACCACTACAGAGGCCATGAGCCAGAACGAAGAAAAGCAATGAATCGTTCATTAAATGTCCACGTGGTATGAACTGGGTTATGGATAACCCCGTCGGAACGCTGCTTCCGCTGCGATAAAGTTCGTCAGCTATAGCAAATGCTGAATGCGGTAGTGCGGCTATGGCCTTGACCATGATTAAGCAATAGAACAAGCTGAAGCTAAGCGGCGCAGAAAATCTGACCCTGGCATCTTGCCATCTGTGCTCCCCGTATTACCGTAGTCAAGTAAATCGATTGAACGCGTTATTCATTTGCTGAGATGGTTAGACTGGCCTTAATACAGAATATAGAAATTAAGGGAAACCAAAAAAAGGAACCGAGTTTCTGGGTTTCATTAGTAATTAGAGGCGACGTGTAATGATATTTTTCGTTTGGTATATGCGTAAGATGACTGTTGGTGGCTGCAACCTGGATCTATTTATTGGATTAGTTTAACGAGAGGCTGTTTAATGGAGTCGAATGAATAGATAGTTTAGGAAATTTGTGATTTTAGATAACGAGTTCTTGCTGCCGTTCCTGACTATATTTTACAAGCTGTACAGCAGTATACAACTGAGATTTTATACACATATTTGGTGGTTCATATATACATGAAACCACTCCGCCAGAAGCAAACAGAATCAAATTGCCTGTTATCTGTATTCTCAATTCTATTATATATTTTCGTATGTAAAAGTATTTTCGAATATCTCTTTTGTGTAATCCCGTTAAGCAACAAGCCGAGTTAAGTAAAAAAAGGAAAGATATGGGGCAAGGCTTACATGCTATCCATTATGCAATAGAGCTCAGGTTAGAAAACACTAAAAAAAAAAAGTGAACAGAAAATCATTTTTAAAGACACTAGTAATTAACTGCCAAGAGGAAAGTGTATGCCTATAGGTATGCAACCGCAATGTAAACAGTAATCACGTATAAACCAGGGAACTTGGTAGAAAATGGGACACTTTCAGCCACAGATTAAAATGAGCTTGCTTTCGCTTTTCATATTTTTCTTTTCATTTTCATTTAATAGGATATTGGAAATACATTATATAGCATTAACAAAGAGCCTATAAAAAAAAACCTAAACTTTACGTTCAGAGCCGAAAAACCCGTATGCGATCGGTTACTTTTTCTCGGTACATTAATGCAATAGGTCATTTACTGATATTGTCCCACAATATATATATATTATTCATAACCTAAACGAGATAAGATTCATAGATCAAGTACGTTTTTATTAACATAGTGAACGGATTTTTGCAAATGCTGGTTTGAAAGATGAAAACCAGTTTTGATAAACGGGGAAGCGTATTATGCAGGATTCCCGATACGTTAGTTGTAAATATATTCATTATGTATGTGCATGTGGCCTTGCTGACTGTGCTTCAACGTTATTCGAAAAATAACATAGAAAAAGTATTTCAGCTTCCTCTCTTTTTAACTCTATCTAAATCTTGTGGTGTTTCCATTGACCAAACATTTCGTTGATAGAAGGGAATGTAACTTTTTGTAGATCCATGTCGTTTCTATACATCTCGAACGTCTAGTTTTGAAACGTTTCTAAAGCGGTTTCACGGTACAGCACACCAGTATTTTAAGTCTCGAATTCGGAAGATAGTCAAGCGAACTCCGAGGTGATCTCGTAAGGTATATTCTTAAATTTCACTGTCTGTAAGGATTTCTTGTCTACAATCCGTCAAAGTCAATGCTTTATGATGAATACAGGTCTAAGACAACGCGTGATTAGGAGAGGAAAGGTGAAATGTAAAAAAATTACCTTGAAGAGCTAACGCGACAAGGACTTGGGCTATTCCTCAGAACGGTGAAGGTCAAACGTCACTGGAAGAGATGGGCACATTTTATTGAAATGAACTAAAATAGTCCTATGTAGCCCTCGGACGACTTACCTACCTAACAAAACTTATATAAATGTTCCGCATTCCAAGAGAGCGCACAATACATTTCCGTCTCAATAACAGATTCCAACACCCATTTTCCTCTGTTCCATGCTGTTCTACATTAAGACAGCTGTTTATACCGTTTATTTATTAAGCACAAAGATGACAAGTAATTATTCTTGATATTTCAAAAAGTGGACATTTCATGTGCACTATCTTTGCTAACGCGGTTATACGATTTTCAATTTATAGATAAATACATTTCAAGGATGCGCATTGGGCCATGATCTCTATAGTCTGCTATATTGCAAATAACAAAGTTATACAAGCTCTGATAGGTGTGTTTTGATTTTGACCATTAACGCTAACGAAGCAAGGGACGCACCGCAGGTTTGGTCAATAACAATACGACGTATGTCCATACACATTTTTGAAAGAAAACACCTACGTGACTTTAATCGATGACTATTGAAAAAAATTAGGAAGCGTTTCACCGAAAGCGTGCTCTGCGTTGCAGATTGAATTGCATTTATCATAATTACTGTTGTAATTGATTTTTGATGAGAATAACAGGGTACTGTCCTTTTATTTTCAATTTGAAAAACCTCCCTTGGACAACACGGTCGTAAATTTTCTTTCCCTAGGATGGTACAATGGCAACGTGCATGTCTTAGGGACACATTGAAGCAAGGCGACTTATGAGTGAAACTGGCAATCGATAGGTTTCGCTAGTGCTGGAAGAAGCCAACAGTTTAACGGCAGCTAAAATGGTCGCAAGAATTGAGACACCAATTATAAGGTTACTTATTTCCCTGAACATGAAATCTCTCAGCTTTGGGATAAACACAAATACATCGGTTTTTGCAGACCAAAACAAACGGTCTGTGCGTTGGTGTCTCAGTTAGAAAAAAAACGAGAAACTTAGGTATCTGTCTAATCGAATCAATCAAAAGGATAGGTTCGAATACACTTGTATTGTATCTTCATGAACTTCATGACAAATTCGACATTTAACTAAGCTACTGCTTAAAGTGTCTATAATAATCTTCTTACCGCGTTGTATAATATAGGCAATTGTTGAATATGAAAAGCCACAGGACAGGTTTCGAACGCAAAAACCTGTCAATGATTATTTTACTTAATAGAGTAGACTGTATCACTTATGTTGAAAGGATGTTGTGGTCGACTCTGATATATAGCGTGAAAATTTAATAATATAGTCCTGGCGCCCTCGTGTTGAAAGGAGAGTCTTTGCTTTCGACCGATGAGGGCGCCACGTGTCATAAAGCATGCTAATAGTGGCAACTATTCGCATCTCCTCCATCGACATCTCCTGTCGCAGTATTCTGACTATAGCTGGGGTCCAGATAATTTCCTGAGTAGTTCAAAATGAAACAGCCGAGCTAGCGATAGCGATCACTTGTACGTTATTGATCTGTGTTTTTGAATAACAAGTAGACATTCACCCGCTGAGTATTCGTCTCGGGCTGATATCTATAAGAACTTGGAGTACGACAGGCAAGTCTAATAAACGATCGGACACTGATTCTTGCAGGTTTCAGTATGGATCTATATATTTTGTTAATCGCAAATACTTTAAAGAAAAAATAACATACACAACCATAACGGGCTGCTCGATGCGTTTAGGATTAACTCGATGTCCCAACAACTTTCAGTCACAAGCGGCATAGAGCGGATAATCAGGATATAATTGCTTCTAGTCGTGTATTAGTCCATTATAACCTAGGACTTATTTATTGAGGCCTTTAAGACAGACCCTTAACTGATTTCTATTGCAGTTAATGCAATAATAATTGTAAATACTGCAATTATACCACTTGCCAATGAAAGCAAATGGCTATACTAAACCACTATGTGGCTATGCTAACGTGATAACCTGGAGTTAGCAACAGGTTTTGTTCGAGAAGTGGTCGTTAAATTATTGCACGAGTACAATTACGTTTTCTATAGGTAAATACTTTATATATAGTGTAAAGTTAACTTCTAAATAGATAACTAAGGTAACTAAGATTCATTTATGCACGTACCATAAGCAGCGTGTGAATATAAAGTTTGCTTGTATATGACCATATCGTATATATGCTAACTGAATAACGCGTACCGTAAGACTAAATTTCTCCCTAATATTACATACTGGACGCATGCTTGTCGGAGCGAGGGGACGATAACGTCATCAACGCAAAGGCTGAACACGCACAAAGTTTTATGTTTTTTTGGTCGAGTATTAGAAAGACGGGATTTAAACATGAGATATTATTAAGATATTTTAGCAAACTTGCAAGGATGTCTCATGCTTAGTCTTTTTTGTATCCGCCGCCCTTTTTTTTTGTAGGCTGCATAAGAAACTACGGGAGCTTTGTTTATGATTTCTCGCGTCATACCTAAGTACGGTGTCATTTTGTAATGTATTTCTTAAGTATACAATTATGTGACCTTCGTTAGGACTGACTCACATCACGAGGACCAGTGAACGTCGTTCGTCAAAACCGAATGACATGTGTCGGTCTTATAAAGTATCTGTGTGCCTACTTTTGTGACCTATTGTA